GAACCCCCTGCCAGCCCCTCCAAGCCCACCTGTCCCCTGAGCAAGGCTGCACGGAGCAGAGGCTTCCCAATAACTGGGTCCCCTCTGCACCCACCCCATGCCCGCAGAGCCCCAGGCAGTGCACATCTGCCTGCGTCTTGCATGGGCCATCCTCCCCTACGGCTGAGCACAGTCTCCTCCTGCCCTGGGACAGGTATTGGGCAACCCAAAAAACGGGTGCTACAGCAGAGCCCGGCCCTGGCACATGGCAGTGGTGGTGCAGCGTAAGGATGGACGCCCCTCGTGGCACTGTGGGAGGACAGGGCCCCCCTGTCCCATCCCCGCCGGGCAGGGGCAGGACCGGTGAAGGGCTTGCTTTGCCAAGCATCCCTGTGCCCAGCTGCGGGAGCTGGAAAGCCCTCGTGCCTGCCCCTTCCCCCAGCACAGAAAGTTGAGCCTCTGCAGAGGAGGAATTTGCAGGCTCCAGCCAGCACCGGGGGCTACGCAGGATCGGGGTAGCTCCGGCCTCTGCTTTGACCCTGGAGGGGACTTGAGTGGCGTAAACACTGCAATCCTGCCCACCCCAGGCACTGCCGTCCTCCTCCCACCCATCGCTCCCACCAGCCAGGCTGGGACCCACCCCAGCACCTCCCGACTGAAGGCCACTCCGCGGATTTGTGAGCAGGACCAACAGATTCAGCACCCCCAGGCATGAACCCCAGCAGCCAAATCCCCCAACTTGCCCCCCGCCCGGAGCCCCAGGCTGCCCTCCCACAGGGGCAGCACTGCCAGTGGGGCCAACGGGCAGAGAGCTGTGCTGGGACCGCTTTCATGAAGTTGGCCTGAAATGGGACTTTGCATTTTTCACATATACAAATCCCTAAGACCCAGGCACGCCAGAGATTGGATCTTTAAACCCAGCAACCTAAGGCTGGGCCCACACGCACCTCCCCACCCCAGAGCCCTGCCAAACCCCCACCTTGTTCCCAAACAGCCCAACACAGGGAGAGGCAAAGCAAAAGGCCAAGAGCCACTGCAAGATGTGCAGAGCGCTCCAAGGGAAGGGCCGAGCGAGAGCCGTGGCTCTTTCGCAGGCAGAGGGAAGGAGCCTGGGCTGGGGGTGCTGTGCTACACCCCAGTGCAAGAGACCCCGCCGGCCCCAGCACGCAAGCCCCGAGCCGCTCCAGCAGGCCGTGGTCTTTCAAATGAGCTTTAATGGTGACCAAGGGAGGGGAGGCAGCGCCGCAGTCCCCGGGCTGCGGTGGGTCCCACACTGTGCACCGAGCTCCCTCTGCCGCTGGCCAGGAGCCCGTCCCCACAAAGCTCATGAGCAGAGGAAGCCCACCCCCGGGACACAGAGCTGAGCGTCAAAAGGCACCCGATGGGGATCAGGGACCTCCGCCCTCCTTCTCCGCAGGGTTTATGGGTGGGAGCGCAAAGAGGGTGCAAGCAGCCTGCACCCACCTCCGCTGCAGCCCTGTGGCTGTGGTTAATGAACCGTACAACGCTCAGGCACGGAAGGTTTTTCTTCACAAGGGGTGCCAGGTACCTCTGGGAATGCAGTGTGGCACCCACAGACCACAGCACGGAGAAGGGAGGGCAGAAGGTAGCTGGAAAGAGACTCATCCCCCTCCTCCCTCCCAAAACTGAAACCGAAACCACCCTTCCAACACCCTACCAAGTGCACGTGTGCAAGATCAGCCTCCAGCATGGCCCCAGGCAGCTTACTGGCAGCACCGCAGGGAGAGACAAGGAGCCAGGCTGGTGTCCCCAAAGCACCCCGCTCCCCCCCGTCCCTCACAGGGCCAGGTGGCAGAGCCGCATGGGCTCCATGTTGTCCCTCCCGTCGCTGAAGCAGGTGCTGAAGAAGGGGCAGTATTTCTCTGCAGAGACCTGGTGGAAGGTGAAGAGATGGGACATGTCGCCGGCATCAAAGAAGGTGACAGTGCCCTCCTGACAGTCCAGGAAGACCCCCACTTTGC